TTTATCTGCATGACATAAAGCTATATTATGCCATTCATTTTTAAGCAGTGTTCCCCATTGATTCCACTGAGAACTGCTGCTTAAAAATGGATGGTACAATATGGCACTTAAATCAGAAAATACAATTAAATTATATTAGATCTTAGCTGTAGGAGCTAGAGAGTAGGTGATCTGAAAGCAAGAGTAGGAATCAAAAACTTCAAGCTGCATAAAAAAAAATTATAGCAAATATATTAATTCTTAAAAAAAAAAAAAAAAAAGATTAAGAGATTTGAAATTGCTTCTCATACTTAGTCCATTCCATACTGAGTCCATTCCTCACTTTTTTCTTACTAAACTTTCACCTTGTGCATTCTCTTTTTCGGTTAAACTGCAAAGGCCTGATGCAAAACATGAGCAATATGCACGACTGGGGCTTTTAACACTAAATTATTTTGCTGGAGGCACAGAAAATTTGACTTTATAGCAGTAGTTAGGCACAGATTACAAGAACCTATTGTTCTGCTGGGTGATTTTCCCTCTGTGGTTTTCAACTACATTTCTTTTACAACTACTGAAATTTGAGAAAAGATGTCACTCTGATGGTAATGCATTTTATATTGCACTCTCTATTTACTAATACACTGCCATAATGAAGTAGAATGTAGTTCTTTGACAAAGGTAAATGAATACTAATGATCAAGGTCGGTAATCTTCCAGAAAAAATGCTTGCCAATTTCCATACCAAATGAGTGATTCTGTTGTTTCTGTGATAGTGTTTGTCAAGGGCTACAGGGGATGCTGTTTTACAGGGCAAGCTATCGTTAGGTTAAGCACACACAGGAACTCTTTGCCATTAATGCTAAAAATGTTTCAAGGAAATAGCAAGCAATGCATCGATTCACTGATCTTTATCACATTCTTACCATGGTCAAGTCCCTTGCTCTCTCACTAGTGCTCCATTGCTGACCTGGAAAGCAGGACAAGGACAGCATACTGCATAACAATTGGTGAATAAACTAGAATAGGCTGGAGCATAAATAAATACATAAGGGAATACAGTAGAATTTCAGAGTCTAAGCAAACATTATTAAAAAATAATGAAATACTACTGGAGAATTACGTTAAAAATATCAGTTGCCTCCTGAAGGTTTTTTTGTTGTTGTTTGCTGGTTGGTTGGTTGGATTATTTTATTCTGCAGGATGTTTTACATTCCCAGGGGAATGGTTCTCAGAATTTGCTGCATTTTTTGTTTGTTTTAACAATTTATATTTGTGGGTGTGATGGGTTTGCTAGATTTTTACTATAGGTAGACTTTGCAGTGCAGAGCATAATAATTAGACAAGTAGATTTTCACAATTTATAAGTCTTTGACTTTCTATTCATAAGGAAACTAAATAAATTGCACTATAAAACTGAAACAAAGGCAATGAGACCTACTTAGCTGGTTTAAGTGTAAGTGAAAGTCAATGGCCAGCACGTTAATAGCGGAACTCTTACATCTCTCCAAACTTCATGGTAGCTGTTTTCTGGAGGATACATGTTTGCATCAAGTTAATTCATTAAATTCACTGTAGCTATAGCTTCATGTCCATCTTTGATTTCTGAGAATTAATGTTTAGTGACAGTCAGGGTAAAATCCCTTCTTGAATTTTTTTGGCATTTTAAATTAAACATTTCCCAAAATGCAAGGAAGGAAATGCAGTCAAAACCCTCTAAGTTTACTAAAATATCAAGCAAACCTCTTCCTCCTCCCTGACACATTCAGAAATGTCTTGGAGGGCTGTCTAGCTGCTATAAGAGTCAAATGATTCACTACATAATGATTGACAAAATTTAACATTTTCTCAGCTTGTAAAGGTAAACTGGATGCTTACATCTTGAACCAACTTCTCTTTGTATTAGTTGCTTTTGAGACCCAGGAATGTGAATTCTTGTGGAGGTAAAAGAATCATTACAGAAGCAGTTGGCAAATAAATGACATAATGAGGGAAAAGTAAACTCAGAAAGGGACGAGTGAAAAAATCCAGAATGAGAGAAGGCTAAGTAAAGAAATTCAAGGGAGGAAATAACACAGATGTCAAGTTCTTACTGCTGGTTATATCTTGCATATGCCAGAGTGTCAAATAGTTCCTGTCTAACTCCAGTCTGCTGAGCACATTGTAGCAAAAGTGCAGACAACTCTTGTTGAAAGACCTTGTACCTAAAAGATCCTCGCTGGAAATCCTGCTTCAGACTTGTACTGTGTCTCTTCTCCCCTTGTGTGAACAGATATATGCCACCTTCTCTTGTGTGAACATATAACTCCCCATTACAAATCCAGTGCAGATGTATGTTACTTTCATTAAATTCAGTGTGTAGGAAAAATGTTTAGATGTTTCAGACAGAGTGTCATATAAACATTTTAATTATCAAGTGTAAAAGAAAATGGCATTATCTTCACCTTTTAGAGACTTGGAAGTTATTTGAACAATACTTCAGTATTCATGAAAACTCTCAGATTTTTGAAGGTACTAGAGTATTTTTTAATTTGCAAAAATTGTTAGGTTTAATGACTTTTAGAGATCTATAAGCATTTTTCAATAAAATTATTTTGTGATTTTTTTCTGTACCACCTGTTGTAATACTGTCTTGCAAATATCATGACATATTTTGTCTAGATCTAAACATAGATAAATATATTTTGCTCTGGATTAAGCATACAAGTGTAAGAACCCTTTTTTACAATTACGATAATGCCTTTACTAGTAGCATAACCTGTAAGAATAACACAAAATCAGAGTATAAAAAAACCTTCATTTTTCTTTGTAATGAAAGATCCACTGTATGCTAAGGGCTCTTAATTTTAAGTATTGCTTTTGTGTACTAAGACTTCAAGTTTCATTAAGGGTGAAATTATGTTCTTTTTTGTGTCAATGTCATTGACTTTAGTGGAATTGTATTTTTTACCCTAAATATAAGTGCTGGAGCTGGACAGTGGTATTGGTGATTGTAGCTTAATTATTCAGCTCACAAACAATAAAGAGGGAAATTGATTTAGGGATAATTTTTGGTTTACTATCTTATTTCTCTTATTTGAATGTTTTTGTTACTTATATTCTTCCAAAATCTGGAATAGAAAATATTGAGTATTTATAAGCTGGCTGGATTTAAATAGTGAAGGTTTTTTACTTTATGTTTTTCTAGTAACCCTTGGCAAATAAGTCTGTGCAAATGAGGCTCAGCCAAGACACTGCTTCTTGGAAAAAGTCTCAGTAGTTGTATTATCTAAATATGTTTTCTCAAGAAATCATGATTTCTAATATTTCACATGGTGGTGGATTGAGGGAAGGCACTGAGATTACTCTTTTAGCCACAGAGGGCAATGCTCCGTGCACATGTGGTAGTCAGTGCTTCCTGTGTGTGTCAGGCGTGTGCCCATCCGCTGGGCTGAGCATCGCCAAGACCTCTTCCTGATCCGAGTCCTGCTGGATTTGCTCAGCTCCAATGTGATATGTGCCACATCTGCCACATGCATACACATGTGCACAAGCAAAAGACCCTTCTGTTGACATATTTCAAATACTGTGACTTTCACACCAATCCATTCAATCATTTCCAAATTGTGTGTGCAAACTGGAGCAATAGGTGCCATCTGCTCCTGTTTCAGGTACACAGTCTGTCAAACTCTGAAGTTACACCATACTCAATGGAACCCGTGCTAATGCAAATTGCATAAATCTGTTCTCAAAGTGTTGGGGCCTTAACTTGCTACATTTTAAGGATGTGTTCTTTTCATGGTATACTGAACCAAACATTTTGAGTGAATTAACTAAAAGTAATGTTAAAATATAGCTGATTTTATATATGATTTGTGGCTACACTAATAAATATCTGGTATGTAGTATGACAGGTACTGAGATAAAAGTCATCTGGAATTATATTAATAAAACCATCTTTTTCTTGTTCAATATCATTCGTGGAGTATTAATGTTCTGAGAGAATACCACAAAAAACACGTTTTTAACAAATGAAATATTGAGTACCGCTTCATTTATAAATTCGTGTCTTAACAGGAAATAAATTTATTAAATAGATAAGTTAACACTAAAATCATTAAAAATGTTTTATAGTCCAAAAGAGAAAAATTATTCTAAAGAGATGCTAGTCTTGAAAACATATAAGGGTTAAATCTAAATTAAAGCCCTAAATTACTAAGTCTGTGTAATAAGCAGATAATAGACAGCAAACCACTAACATTGAACAAACAATGTTTCATATATATGCACCTGTACATCTGATGAAAAAAGAGAAATAACACTGTTTCTTGCTTGACATTTTTGAATAATTCCAAATATTAGGTTTTAGTATAAACCTTAGAAAAATACATTATTGTGGTAAAAACCATTTGTATCTATCTTCCATTTCATCAAGTATTATGGCTGTGGTAGCATAAACATGATTTTTCTGTATTAAAGAAAAGCATGTGCTCATAACTTTATATATATAAAGTTATAAATAATTGAGATATAAGTAAGTGGTACATCATGTTTAGTCAAGAAATCATGACTTTCTTATTTCAATAGTTGTAGACATTATTTTGTATGATGAGTATATTGGCATGACTAAGAATTTACTACTGTGCAGAAGGGCTATATAATCTATGCTCTTATAGTATAAAGCATCGTATGAATGAATAATAGTTTTGTGTGCTGTAAATAATAACATACTGCATATAAACCACATCGTTATTTTTATTAAGATGGTGTATAAATTGTATAGAAAAAATAATTGATCTGGAAAACTGCAGAGTGCCATCAATTCTCATTTGATATATGAGAAAATTGCATATATTCAGTATGTCACAGGATGTACAAATTTAATCCAGTGTAGAAGTGTAATAGAATTTCCTGTAATATCATATACCAGCATACAACAAATGCACCTGCCTGGGGACTCTGTGTCTCTCTACTTCGTAACACAATTTAAGCTGATTTTTTAAATATTACATTTTTTAAATCTGATTATCTTCACTTTCTAGCACCCTGTGGAAGCCGATCAACAGGTTCTGAAGGGACTGTGTTATCACCAAACTACCCCAAGAATTACAGTGTTGGTCACAACTGTATTTACGCTATCACTGTTCCTAAGGAATTTGGTAAGTAGGTGTGGTCTCATTCATATTCTTTTGTTGCTTGGATACTTTTAACAATTCTGGATGATTTGTATGGTTGCTTTTACATTAGATTATAAATGTGAATAAGCTGTTTTAATATTAACACTTTTATCATTTTATAGTAAATTATTTTCTCAAAATTGTTCAGTATTTTTGTCTTGCTGTGATTGCTAGCATGTGACTTAGGATACTACTGTGATGCTAACTAAATATGTGAGTGGTACCACTTCAGGTTTCTTTTCACCCCAGATCATGTGCCTGTGCTCTAGAAAGTGAAGCATACCTCCAGTAAGTCCATATAAGCAGGGGAAGCAATGTTTATCTTAATTATGTCATTCTGATTGGGAACAGTGATAAAGAACGACATAGGAGTCTATGACTCTAGGAGTCACAACAGGAGAATCTCTCTAGTTTATTGTTTTAGGCTTGTCTTATAGACAGATACGTGGAAAATACAGAAAGGAAACTCTTATTGGTTAACAAAGTGCTGCATCACCATCATTGGTCAGTGGGGCACAACACCCCCTGACTTTCTCCTGCAAGGAAAACAAGAGGACAGACAAACAGCACCTGGCAGTTGTTTTCTGTCTCTGAGGATTGTTTTGAAATCCTCCTATGAATTTCCCAGGCTAGCTTCTCAGGCAGGACTGAGAGGCCATGGGCCTGCAGCCTGCTCCAAAGCTAGCATCCACATAATTATCTGCCTCTTTTAGCCCTTGGCTTCTCTGCACTGTGTGGCAATGCCATAGTCCTTATTGACAAATGAAATTAGAGCAGCATGTGTCTGCTTGGGTCTTGTAGATTCTCTGAACCTCCACCAAAACTGCATTTCCATACTAACATTTTTTCTTTTGACTAAATGAATATTTTAATGGTGTCTTCTGTCCCATACAAAGACAGTTTTATTTCCCTGGATTTATGAATTACTTTACCTCACTTTATTATTAAAGGTCTATGATAACAGCTGATGGTTTTTCATTCACTTTGACTTCTTGGTAAGCAGCGTGCCACATACCGAGTATCCTTTAAGCTTTAAATATCCATGCTTTAGATTTATGCTTGGATAAGCAGGACTACATTCTGACCCAGAGCTCACATTTCAGTTTGTCAGATTACAGATGCCTGGGGATGAGGATGGGTATTTTTTAACCTTCCTTCTTGTTGATTCTGCAAACCTCTTAGCCAAGTTAAAGACAGTGCTTCAGCTGCTTTGTGTCCATCTGCCACACTCATGATGTCTGAACTCCCTTAATATCCAATTAGCTTGTTCTTGTGTATAGTGTAGAGGTGCATAGACTGCTACAAAATAAATATTCTTTTAAAAGCATGGTCTCCTAAGTCATGCCTATCTCTCCTTATTCCAAAAATATTAAGAAAAAAGTAAAAACATTTGAACAATTCTTGGTTTATTTCTAGCTATTATAAGCATGTGCTTTTGATACAGCTTATTGTTTCTAGATAAACTTTAAAGTTTATATCCTCCAATTTTCATCAAATCTGAAGTTACTGATTTAATATCAGTATAGTGATACTTAGTTTATGAAACAGACATCAACACGTAAATCCTTAAAACTGCTACAATATAAGATTCAAAATGTTAATTCTTTTTACTTCATATTTTTGACATTCTTGGTTGAAACGTAGTTTTCTGATTTCCAGAAATAAAGCCAGATTTTCCAAAACAACACATGGAGAAAAGTCCCACTGCTCTGCATGGTTATTTGGGATAATTTGAGAAATACTGGTTTACTTACACACTAATCATGATAGTAACAGTATTAAGGAATTCTTTTTGACCATTTCACAGTAATTAGACAAAAAAATGCTGATACAATAAGAAAGGTTTAGATATGCTTAACCTTAGCATACAAGGATTCAGTGACACATTGTGGGATATAAATATGATAGAACATCTAAACTTTTTGTCTGTCCTACCTTGGACAGACAAATGTAAAGGGTAAACCTTTACATTTTTTCTTGTATTTAAACAGTGTATTTTGACAATTAGTTCAGGTACCTGTAGAATATATCATGGATCATATTTGATCCACTTTTGTGCATGCAGAAAACAAAAGTGTGTTGGAAAAGAATGGTAAAAATTATATCTGGTAGAAACCACTCAAAATGAGGATGACATGACACATTGAAACAAGTGCCCAAACAGATTTTTCCATTTTAGCTGGTTTTTTCCAATGATACTCACACAGTAATAGGAAGCAGAATTCCTCACATCCAGAAGCTCACATTTTAAAATCTGAATCTTTCTTTGAATTGTACACCAGTGTACAATTTTTTTCTAACTTATTCATATATATTTTTTCCTGACCTGGGCTCTTTCTATAATCTATCATTAGTTAAATTATTCCAGTAAAATCCATTAAGAAAGGCAAAGCAATTTTGGCAATTGATTTAACTTAAGTTTTTTTACATTTGATGTAATTATTTGTCTCGGTCAGAAATTTTATAGTATGAGTAATGAATGTGTTTTATCTAATAGCTTTTACCTCTAACTCATCAAAATTTGTTTAAGTACAGTTTCAGAGAAGAATAGCCATAAAACTGCAATGCTGAGGTCTTTCAGATCAATTTTAGTAAGTAGCAACTTTTTTCCTTTAATTGTTGTTTTGGGTACTGATAAAAGATACTGCATTAAGAGTCTCCACTTGCAATTCTTGGTATGTAGAGATCACTCACTGACAAGATGGTCACAAAACAATCTGGCCTTCATGGAAAAAGACAGCAGATTTCCTATTCAATTCACGTGGTAGTATGCATCACATCATGTAGATTTGGCAGAGATTATTCACAACAAAAAAGAGTCAAGATAACCTTTTTGAGAATGAAGGGGTACTCCAGCAAAGCTGCTGACATGAGATAATAGAATTTTCCTAAAGAAAACAGCAACAACAAAACTGTCATCTTCTCTGTGGCTCCAGCTTTCAACGTGAAATACAGCAATCAAATATTTGCTGAATGGAAACTCTTCAAGAACTGTTTTTGGCATCCAATACAGTATATGAGAATTTATAACAAAGAACAGAGAAAAAAAAGTGAAAACTTGGTCAATATAGACAAAACCCACAAACAATGTAATAACATATTCAGTGTGTAGAAGGGAACTCATTGGCCTGGATTAGTTTTTGATGGACTGAAAAGAAAACCTATTTCATCTGCAGCTTCTCAGGTTCTCAAGTCAAAAATTTTGTGGAAAAGTCATTTCAATGTGGACTTTTTCCCAGTGTTTCATTATTCTGTCATGCAGAATCACAGTTGCAATATTTCATACCATGACAGGTTTAAGCTGCAAGATAAATGATTCACAAAAGCACACAGTGTGCCACAGGCAAAATCTTTTTTAACATGGAAGACTCAGCTTCTTTGACACTCTACCACTGATATTTTAAAGGGGTGTAATGATTGTTAATTGTTCAATCCTCAAATACAGCTTTGGTTACAATTAAAATGCAGATGTTTGAGATTTTATTTTTTTTCCCGGACGGCCATGACCTAATTTGTCTGCTCTGCTGTGTATAATGGTGTCATCTAGACTTTTTTGAATTAATTTTCTTAACAGTAAAATAGATTTTAAATCATCTGGCCTCAGAAAATGGCTTGATTTTTTTTGTTAGAGCAAAAAAGATAGATTGAACCTACACAGTAAGATATGTAAGGGTGGCTTTGAGCTATGCTATCAGAAAATAAATATATTTTCCCAGTTGCCATCAAGAATTATGAAATTTAAATTAGAACTATCTTTTCCTACCTAGAAACTAAAACATTAATTAGGAAAATGTATTGTTTCAATGGAAACATTCGCTTTACATTGACAGGAAAATATAATATTAAAAAAATGCAAGAATTTTATTGATAAGAATGATATTTTGGGACAAGACTTCTTAGAATTATAACAATGAAGGTAGATCCAGTTTGCTTACTGTAAATAGGGAAATTCAATTCCACTATTCTCTTCAATTCCTGAATAACTGGTTTATATTCACAGACACATTTATGCCTTTTTCAGTGTTCGCTTATGTTTTGTCTTGCATTTCTAGGAGGGAGACCTCAGTTATTCCATATTAGAAGTAGAACTGAACAGCTGAACTTTGGGATTATTGTTATTATTATTAATAATATCCTTGAAAGAATATGTTTTTGGCAATTACTGGAAGGTAAAGCTACAGATTTTATTCTTCCATTGACAATATACGTTGAGCAAACAATGGTGTCAACCACATGTTCTCTGTTAGCTCACTGCATTTACAGTTGTTAGACACCTGAATGGTCATGTCACAGTAAAGCTATTCAGTACTATTTGATTCGATTACAAACTCAATTTACATTTGGAAAGAAAAATATGAGCAAGGAGAGATCATAAGGAGCAGAATGTGCCAACCTCACATCAAGAGGAAATGAGAACCAAATTGTATTTCTGATAATACTTAGCTGAATTACAGTAAAACATTTGTTTTAATAACTTGAATCCATCATCATTGCTGTGCACATCTTAATATAATTTAAGAAATGTGGCAGATGTATATGGACTGACATTTTTAAAATGTGGAGGGTTTAACTCTCCATCTTAAGTAAAAATGGATGGGAATGTCTGGCTAAATAGCTAGTGTCAATATTTTTAAACATAAGCAAAACAATTATTGAATTAAGTAATACTTTACTGAAGGGGAGATAGAAATGAAAGAATATGATCTAAAATATTAGAATACAACCACAGGCAGGAATCTGATTCTTCATCTACCCTCTTTTTATACAAGCAACCACATCAAAGTCTGTGAGACTTTCACAGTTCAAACGATTACTTGTCAACAAGATGGAGCGAAACCACAAAGACTGCTCCAATTACTTGAGTGTCCAGCTGTATAAAGGTCCAGGACAGTAATTTCAGAGGAAAGAGACAGTGATTCAGCTTGTACCCTGTCTTTTATAAAAACTAATTCAGCTCACCTTTTCCTCCCAAAAAGAGAATG